GTGTAGAGAACTGTATTACAACCTAAAAAATATACTTTAATTACTCTAAACTTCACTGAAAATTAGTTAATTCCGGGGCTTCTTTAAATTAGGAATGCCACTTTTAAAGGAGGGTTCCTTTTATTTTATTTTTTTCTGCATACTTGTATAAATGCATGCAACTATTATAGCTGTGGGCTAAGTGAAATTACTCAGAAGGAGAGTAAGTATAGGCCTGATGTTTTTACGCTGTGTTGAAAGCAACCCTGGAATCAATTGTGCAGGAAAATATTTACTTCTGTTTGTAACCCTGTTCTAGGTGTGCGATGTATCGGAAATGATTGTTGGCAGGAAGTGACAGTGACGATGAATTACGAAATGGCTCTATGATTCATTTCGTGGATATCCAGTCATGCATGAGTAGTCTGTTAGGTTTTAATTTTACCGTGTTTAGTGAGAGCCTGATAGTTAATTATTAAGTTATTTCGCAACGGTGTGTCAGTGGCTGAGAATATACACCGCTGAATGATGCGGTAGAATGATTATGAATAGCGGCTATGGAGGGGTATAGGAACCAGTTTTCGATATGAAGATAGTTGTAACAGTATGCAGGAGGGAGTGAGGAAAACCATGGAAATGCTCGTGATATTTCCCAGCAAAATGGGAGTCAGTCGTGGTAGCGCCGTTACTGATAGCAGACTGGGCTGGAAACATTTGCAAATTTTGTACAAAGCATTTTGAGCCCATTAACGTAGACAGAATACTTACGTAAGAACTGTAAGAAACATATTTATGCTGATGATGATAACAGTATCAACCACAGCAGCGGCAACTGTGTATAAGATGTTTATAATTGGAGAAGTTCCGACTTGAATAGGATTTGGTTATATACCCAAGATCCTAGATATAGGAGCCCAGTATGCTAACTCATGAACTTAATTTTATTTAAGAATGATAATTAATTTTATTTACGAATTATAAACGTATCTTACATGAATGCATAAAAGTACAGTACTACGTTTTTAGGACTCGAAGTCTGTGAAATAGGAAATATGACTTCTGTCGAGAACTCCTTGTTACAGAAAGAGGATCAGACTATGTTAACAGCAGTATCCTGTTACGTATTTGATATTTCAAGTTAACTGTAGCGATTCTCGGGAAGTATTTATGGGTTGATTCATTTCCGATTTTGCATTAACGGGATAATTTTTAAACTTTATATGGGTGATCCCAAGAGCTTCTAAAACCCGAAATTTCCTCCGTACATGGCGTCGTGAAAGGGATGCTTATTCTAAAGATTTTATGGCTTCAGAGGTATCTTATAGAAATTGGATACGCAGATGAATTCTTTTTTCGTCCAAAAAGACCAGGAAACGCCGTTCCCTGAAGACTGCAGCAGTAGATTGGCAGAAGAATGTGTAAGCGGACACAACAGTGACAGCAACAAGACATATGATTACATTTCCAAGTAACTAGTAGTCACTCACACCATGTCCTGTTTTCAATCCTCATTGCTCCTTGAAAGCGTTGCTTTGTTGTGCATGCACATAGTATTCATCCTCCAACTTTCCGAAGAATTTTCAGCGGGCATTGCAGCAGTATCCTCTCTCTCTCTCTCTCTGTCTGTCTGTTCTTGGGGTGGGGTGAGATCGAGTCCGTTGATACGTTGGTTGTGGATGGGCCTTTCGTGCCAGCTCCGGATGAGAGAATGGAACATTGGTGGAATGACAATTGGCAGGGGATACCCGAAGTACTCGGAGATAAATTTCTCTTAGTGCCACTTACCCATCACATATTCAAAGTGGACTGCTCTGGAAATATTAATTTGTAGTGTATAATTCATGCTGGGGGTACGCGGTAGCGTAGTTGGTTGAGGCACTGTGTTACAAGCCGGAAGGTCGCGGATTCGAGTCCTGATGAAGTAGATTTTTTTTTCAGTTTACCTAATCCTTCCAGCCATACTATGACCCTGGGGTCGATTCAATCTCTAGCAGAAATGAGTACCAGGAATCTTCCTGGGGGGTGAAGGCGGCCGGAGCGTAAGGCCGATAACCTTACCGCCATCTGTGAGCCGATTGTCTAGATAATGTGGGCGTCTCAACGTCTCACAACCCTATGGACCTCCACGGCCTGGTACAGAAATAGCTTTACCTATAATTCTTGCTGCCTTCTGTGTGTATGGGCGGAAGCGGTGGAAGGAAATGAGTTGTAACTTCTCCTAGCTTCTTGCAATGGTCGGGTGTTGTAATCATTTATTACCTGTTGCGTGTGACGAAAAGTACCTAGACCTTCCTGGCTGCTTATCGTGTGCCCTGTTTATTTTTCTCTCGTCCTTCAGACACACGTTACAACAACATGATAATCCAGTCACAATCCTCCAGTGGTTCACAGTATTGAGATGAAAGGTAAAAACATGAGCTTTATCGTTTTATGACTAGGTTAGGGAATTTCAGTCAAGCATCTGATGACGTATTTTGCAACATATGGTGATGACTTCATTGCCCCTCTTCTTCCCCCTGGCAGGATGTACGTTGTGTTGACATCACGTAGATAGGAGAGCTGCAACCAGATTGACGTCACAGAGGCTGTAAAGTGATTCTTCACATTTTTAATTCCATTTGCCACCCATAATTTTTAGCTTACTTTCCCAATTTTGAAAAAATTAAAGTAGGCTTGTGTGTCTGTATGTCCCCCCCCTATTAAGTTACGAATGTCTGAAATGAAATTTGATATACGTAGGGAAGTCAAAAATTATCCGCACTCTTGTTTTTCCAATCCATATATAGAAAAGTAGGGGTTGAACAAGTACTTCATTTTACATTTTTCTCCCTTTGCGATGCACTTGGTCCAGCGGTTCAAAAGCTTGCGTATTCCCTCCACGAAGAAGGTTTTCGGTTGGTCACGTAACCATTTATGCACCGCTTCCCCCACTTCTTTCTCTGTAGAAAATAAAAAACTTCATAAAACATCTTTGAACGGTCCAAAGAGATGACAGTCGGAAAGGGCGAGATCTGGGCTGTAGGCAGGGTGTTCCAGCACCTCGAAACACAAATGGTTAATGGTTTCAACGATCTGGCCGTCCTTGTGTGAGTGTTCATTGTCATGCAACAACAACACTTCCTTCGACAATAGGCCTCGGCGTTTGGTGCGAATTGCTGGCTTCAGATTGTTGGCCAGCAAATCACTGTATCTTGCACTGTTGATCGTACACCCTTTTTCCAGGTAGTCTTCCAGTATAGGCCTTTTTGAGTCCCAAAAAACGGTTAGCATCACCTTTCCCACGAAAGATTGAGTCTTGAATTTCATCTTCGTTTGCGATCCCGGGTGTTTCCACGCCATACTCTGGCTTTTGGATTCTGGCTCATAGTGATGAACCCACATATGAATTTCAGCCCCTGACACACCTTCCAGTCAGAGAAATCAGATCACTGTTCTTTGTCAATCATTGGTGCACACTGCTAGCAGAGCGGCCATGTCACAGCATCAAGGAAAATGATGCGATCAAGGTAAAACTTCGATCACGTGACCACAGTAGTGCCAACTCTAACAATGCATGCGTAGGAGGCAGTGTGACAAACCTAAAAATGTGTTATGGAGAAAGTTCGGATAATATCTGACTTATCCTCGTATATGAGGCCATCTCAGCGGCGTACATAAAAAATCCCTCCCATCAGTAATACCAATACCATAGCTGAAGTAATACCCTTAATATTACTCGAATGTCTGAACCGATCGCCATGGGACATGGTTTATGTACCATGCCACCTGAGACCGTCTGAACGGCGCACTTGAGAAATCCCTCTCATTACTACAAAACTGCAACCTCTCAGATTGTCGAGGTAATAACTTTAATATTACCTGAATGCCCGAATCAATCTTCATGAAACTTGGTTTGTGTGTCATCCCTTTGAGGTCAACTCAACGGCGTACCTCATAAATCAGTTCCATCAGTAATAAGAACGCTCCTGCCTCCGTAATTGTGTTGTTTTATTGGCTTCAGTACGCATACATACTAAAGGTTTTTTTTCCTACGTGTCGAATCATATACTAAAATTAGAGTGAGGGAAGTAGGTGATTAGTTATTCCCAGAACCTCTTGTTTTCTTCGACGAACTACCGCCGTCCTCCCCTTCTGACCCACATGCCGGCTCAGTAGAACAGTGGACTCAGAGGCTCGTGAAGCGGCAGTAACTTAGGCAACCAGTCACGACAGCACTTTCCCCGGTTAAAAAATTTGTCTGTATTGGCAGTGGAACTTCACAAATTTCTCCGCACAAGTAAGGAGCAGTGTGGTATCTTCAATATTGTTCCCAAAATTTAATCCAAAATCAGGTGCTGATTGTTCTAGACGAACATAAGGTGTACAGCCGCATCACGCCCGACTCCGATGAATTGAAGACGCCAAGTGCTGATTAATTTGGATAGGTGAGCGGAAGGTAGCCAGATCACGTCCAGCTCCGAGAAGGTGCAGAAAACAAGCTCTTTTCCCACCGAGTTCATCCCACTGCCAGAATAGATCAGTTTGGCCCCGTCTTTAATAATTTTGTCGCTGTGTTTTATTCTAACGTTTTCGTGTAGGTTCATTGAAGCCCTCAACATCACCGTTTTGTCCATGTTCATTTTCATTCCGTATTCTAATGTAACTGGTCACGCACATGCCAGAAGCCCGTGTACGGACCTCGGGGCCTTCTCTAACATTGAATGCCTAGCGGTAAACCTGGCTGTAGCCGGTCGGCTTTTAGGACGCATATTCGTTCATGTTCACTAGACTAGAGCTAACTCAGTGTGTTATGAAATTAGTTTTTAGATATACATATGGAAGCGGTTGAAGGAAAATAGGTGACATATATTCTTCCCAGAGCCTCTTGTTATTTTTTTTGTGTCCATTGATAGCTACAGCCTGCATTGTATTGTTCATAATTGGTTTTAACCAAAAGGCTTCTCTATTTGTATTGCAAAGTAACTTGAGTAGAGGCATATGTTCTTGTTCGTGCGCATTGATGCGTATGTCCCCTGTTGCAGCCTATCAGCCATTGAAGCTGATGCAAGTGGTGACTGGAAAGGTGAATGAGGTATGTTTACGATACCGAGACAATGGGAAGCTGGCTACACTTCCTCCACCATCTCAGGGACCACCCATCTCATCCTGTGCTATCAAGAATACAAGACGTTGTATGGAGGACCGCCATGTTATCGTAGAAGACTTCCACACTGTATTTGGCATTCAGGTACTTGGCAATTGTCTCTTAATACAAGTAGAACGAGAATTATGACAGAATTCCGGACATGTAGTGTGGTTGCTTTGCAAGATCAGAGAGAATGGTGAATGAGATGTGTTTATGATACTGTGACAATTGTAAGCTGGCCACACTTCGTCCACCATCTCCGGGATCACGAGTCTAATCTTGTTCTGTCAAGAATACAAGATGGTGTATGGAAGATTGCCATGTTACCATACAAGACTTCAACTCTGTAGTTCAGGTACTTCAGAATGTTCCCTTAATAAATATAGAGTTAGAACAAGAATTATGTTAGAACACCACTCTGGTGGTGTGGTTTGCTGTATAAGATTAGTAATCGGAGAGTCCGAGGCGTACTCCTACTGTGCATAACAAACTTTCGTTACACTGAAAACAGACTAAGCTATGCATATATTGTCAACCCTACAAACCTTTAACTTCTGTAAAAAGCATCTCTCAATGTCAAATATCATTTCATTTTCTTGTTGAATTTCTTTATTCTTCATTAATGCTGTTGATTTCAAATTAACTTGTTTGTTATGTGTTTGTTGTAACAAACAAGTTAATCTTGTATGCGTATGTATATGTATGTACTGTTCGTTTATGTACCTTTACTGTAATTTATATATTTATGTATCATTGCAGGCCACTGTATGTTGTACTCTTTAAATTAATAGGAAATTCATTTTAATTTAACAAACTTGTACATAATAAATTATTTCAAGGAATTAGTTTCTTTTTTTTTAAACAAGGAGTTGGTATACATAGTTATAACTGCATGGATCCATGTATATATATATATATATATTAGGAAAATGATATGGGGGCAAATTAAAATGGAGGGAATTTAATTCTATGTACTCTTGTCTGATCTGGAATTTTTTTCTTTTAAAAATAAGTACAGTATTTTGTTTATTAACCCTTGAAGTGTCTGCTGTAGGTGACATTCCATAGTACTGTGTCTGATAGAACCCATGTGACTTTAAAATCAGCCAGTGAGAAAACTCGTACACCAGTGCTACTCTTCTGGTGCCTCGAAATAAAGTTTTCTTGGCATAAAACTACTGGAGTATCTTGTAGAAATTCAAGGGTTCATATTTGTTTACATCATTAACATAAACAATTTTTGTTTCCATAATATTGGAATGTAATTTAGTACAACTCATTGTGAGCACCACTGACAACTGTGCATCTGACAGAGCAGTTTCCTAGTTCAGTATTAATCCAGGAAAACATAATAGGCAACACAGTAACACTTATCTCTGTATTCTTCATTGTAAGTCCACTATGTTGGTCAGGTTTTGCTGCAGACACAACCATAGCTGAAGATATCCATTGGAGATAAATCAGGACTTCCTGCTGATCATGGAATTGTTTGTCACCCTCTGATTCTGTGACCAGGCAACTGGGCACCAAAAGCTCTGCATACAGTGTTATCAGAATGTGGGGGTGCACCACCCTGTTGGAAAATACAGCTATTGATTTCTGCTGTTGTGTAAACACAAAGTTCACCCTCATATCCAGGTAAACTGTAGAGGTTGCCATATTCTCTGAGGAACAGGTTGTAAACATGGTCTGACATACTTGTATGCACTTTTGGGCTATCTCAGACATACGTAAGGTGTGTGGTTTTTCATGAACCTAAGTTCTACAGTCTTATGTGAAAGGTGGCCTCAACATGAAAAGAATTTGTACCTTACATTTGCATAAGTCTTTTCCAACATAAACCTTACAGATTGGACCAATTTAGGCATGTCATGAGATTGAATATTGTATTGAAGTTGCAATTTATATGCACAAATTTTTAATCTTTTTTGAGCAAAGCATTATGAGCTGTGATGTCTGAAATACTTAACTGACTGCCGACCCATCAGACGGATTGTCTTGGGCTGCAGTGAATTAATTGTGTGATGTATTCGTTATCATCATGACCTGCTGGGTCCTCTCACAACACTTACTTGTATCTCTGGAACTCCTGATGCTACTGACATATAATATTGTTTTTGTTTTCTTCTGAAAGTTTCTTTTATCACTCAAAACTATGGCTTTGTCTACCACATAACATATTGTGCGTTCTCCCATGGTGATGCCATAACTGATTGCTTTCTCCTGTACCTATATATAGCAAAGCTGTATCAGACGTAGCTGTAGTTGGTGCAGTATTGTGAAAAGAGATGCCTTTTACATCTGTCGCATAACTAGTTAGTTAGTTAGTTAGTTAGTTAGTTAGTTAGTTAGAGAGGGTGGGTTTCCCCATGCACTGCGACCAGTTTGATATATTCTACCAGTCTCTATACCCTACCGATACTGGTGCTTACCATCAGCCCCGACCAAGCCAGCGAGTTCGGCCTCTACTGGCTTGGCGGTATCTATAATGCTTCCCCCATCTATCAGAGGCGTTAGAGACTGCTGTTGGGCAGGAAATGTCCTTGAATTTGGCTCAGTGACCTCCTTAGGAGATATGAGGTTCTTTTACGTGCCGTAAAGCTACGACACGGGACCCACGGCTTCAAGTCCCTCCCGGAGGACTTGTTCCCTGAATTTTTCCGCCCTTAAAAATTCCACGACCTCCGCCAGGTTTGAACCTGCATACTACGAGTCATGAGGTAGGAACGTTACCTCTAGACTACGGAGGCCGCTTGTCGCATAACTAAATATTAATAAATAAAATTGCAGCATATTTTATCAGATCATCTGTATTAAGGAGACTATGAAAATGTGTATACTGGAATATTTTTCTGATCCACTACTAAGTCATATTTTGGATTGGCTGTGGCAGCACTTTGATAACTGCTTATGAGACGCAAGATGTAGCGAATTTAGTATGGTGATTGTATGGTACAATAGGCAGTGGCAATAGGAAGTGGCCGCAGTACAAGGGACTTATTCCCACCCCACTAGCAATGGTGATTGTAACAAGCACAAAATCGTCAGTAATTTGGTACCAATATTATATACGTCGTCTGTTCAAACTTGAACTATTTGTTCATAATTTTTGCGGACATGCCTGCACCTGAGTGAGTCTTATCGCCTTCAAAATACTCCCTTCTTGCATTGATGCATCGCTCCCAACGCCATTGCCACCTCTGGAAACAGTCCTGGTACGCCTTTTTTGGGATCATGCATAGCTCCATCTGCAAATTTTCCGTGATCTCTTGAATTGTCTGAAATTGTCATTTCAGTTAGGGAATAAGAAAAAGTCTGCTAGAGCCAGGTCAGGTGAGCAGGGTGGCTGAGGAAGCACAGTTGTCTTCGTATTGGCCAAAAAGTCAGAAATCAGTAACGATGCACGAGCTGGCACATTGTCATGAAGGGGGGGGACCAGGAGTTGTTTCTCCACAACTGAGGTCTGTTTCTCCTGACATTTTCTCTTAGATGTTTCAGCACTTCGAGATAATACCAGCAATTCACTATTTGCCTCTGATGTAAGAACTCATGATGCATAACACCCTTGATGCAAAAAGAAAACCATCAACATGACTTTCACATTCAACCTGACCCACTGTTCATTTCCACATCATATCCATATACCCATGTTTCATTGCTGGTTATAATTCTTTCCAGAAAGTTTTCATCCTCACTAGTGCAATCCAAAAGTTCCTGACAGATGGCAGTGCGACTGTCTCTCTGACCCTGTGTCAGAAGTCATGGGACAAACTTTGAAACCACCTGATGAATTTATAATTTTGTTGTAAGAATGTCATGACATTATCCTATCGATATGTTGCACTCTTCTGCTATTTTCCGCACCGTTAAACGATGATTAGAACACACTTTCATGAACTTGCATAACATGAGTGTCGTCAGATTACGTTGAGGGCCATCCGAAATGCGGCTTATGTGTCAACTACTGACTGCCCTTAAATTGCTTAAACCATTCATAACAGCATGTACGGCTCATACATTGATCACCATAAGCGTTTTTCATCATTTCGTGAGTCTCCATGAATTTTCTCCCTAGTTTGAACTCAAATCTAATGTTAATGGGCTGCTCATGAATATCAGCCATTTTGAATATCGCAAGACACGCTCTACACGCACATGAACAAATAGCTCTAGGGCGATGATGAATCACAGCAGGATGATGCGGCAAAAAGGACAATTAGTTAGGAAGTACACCACTAGGCAGCACAACTTACCTGACATTTCTAAGATGTCGAGTTGACGTGCTACTTCAGAAAGTTCCGAAACTTTTTGAACAGACCATGTAAATTGCAGGGCAGAATTTTGCACAGTCATGTGAGAGATAGTATATCATTACGTCTCATTAGTGGTCATTGTTTCCCAAATCTATATCTGTGCTACCACTTAGTATCAGAGCCCACTGTCATGCTTTCCCCCACTACCTTTCTTCCCACTTGCACAGGTCATAAACCATCATGGAGTAGCACAAGAAGTATTTTAATGTTAGAGGAGGGACTTTGGACATGTAATAGTTGTGGACTATTGTTGACTTTTGCAGGATTGTAGCCCGAGTAGCTACTATGCAGTGTTTGATGGTCATGCTGGGACAGATGCCGCAGTGTATAGTGTGAGCCACCTCCACCAGTTCCTTGCTGAAAGTTCTTTCTATCCAACTGATCCAGAACGAGCACTCAAGGATGCTTTCTCCAGGACTGATTCACTCTTTCTTGAGAAGTGCAACAGAGAGGTAACAGATTTTGAGAATGCCGTTTAGTTGTGGTACATACAACTGATTTATAAATAAGCATCTAATTCTGTATTTGTTAATAGTAACTGATGGTTCAGAACACAGTAAACCATTGGACATGGTCCTGAGCGAGTTACTTCCACTCATCTTCATACTCAGTTTCTGTAGGATCCTTCTTTATGTATTCATCCATTTTTTCAGACTGGACAGAGGGTCCATCACATGGTAAAAGAAGAGATCCTTGCTTCTAATTCTCAGCTTGGTACTGAATATGATGGCCGCTGTTTTCCATGGTTTTCCCAGATTAATCCAGTGAAATGCCACGATAGGCCACAATCACTTCCTTTAAAACCCTTACATACTGACTGTTTACAATCCTCTCTTCTCATTTGATGCTATATAGCCTATGCAGAGGGGGCACACGGTAGCATAGTTGGTTGAGGCACTATGCTACAAGCCAAAAGGTCGCAGGATCGAATCCTGAGGGGGTGGATTTTTTCAATTTACCTAATCCTTCCAGCTCCACTATGGCCCTGGGTTCGACTCATCCTCTAACAGAATGAGTACCAGGCATATTCTTGGGGGAAGAGGGCGGCTGGCGCGTAAGGCTGACAACCATACCGCCATCTATGAGCTGATTGTCTAGAAAATGTGTGAACCTCAACATCTCACAATTCTATGGGCCTCCATGGTTGTTACAGGGATACCTTTACTTTTTATAACCTATGCAGTTGAAACACTGTCATTAAATAATCTAAACATGTATGAACTAGTCAATCAGCTACCTTTTTTATTTTTAAATTCTTTTATTTTATAAGTTTCAAGGTAAAAACCAAGATAGGCCTAGTAAGATATCCCTAAACTCTCTTGGCTTGTTTGTTTGCTCAAGGTTATTATTTAACGTAGTAAGTATTTTTGTGTGCTGTAACATTCACACAAAGCTGGCATAGCACAGTGAGTAAAATGCCTGGCTGCGGACTGGATGATCAGGATCTGGTTCAAACTGACCATGTCCTTCCATATATTTCTGAGATTTATGTATATGCAGAGCTTTGCATTCACTCTTGTAAACCATGGTTATGTGGTGTTTAAACACAGACATGAAACAAACTGAGGAGTTTTACTGAAACTTCTTGACACATTCGAGTTTTGCTTAAAATCAGACAAAAATTACATGCTATGTATTGAATTGAATTGAATTGAATTTATTTACATTCTATAAATCCTAAGCAGGTTAGTACCTTTGGATACAGAACAAGTCAAAAGGTTACATACATAAGTACAGGCAATTTTAGCTTAAAAATTAATATAACTTAATTTTACATCATTCTCTATTTACATTGAAGTATTCATCTAAAGAGTAGAAGGAATGAGCA